AGTCTGTGCTTGTTTCTCGGGCCCAGAATCGGCGTTCCATGGATAGAATCTGCCCCATTAACAACATGATCTCCAAAGCACCGGGACCCGTGGTTTGAGAGAATTCTGTGTCCGTGTCCATGTCCATGTCCTCATTACGCTGGTCGCTGCGCTCCCGCCGCCTCCTCGCCTCGTTTTTCTGGTCCTGGCTCAGCATAAACTCCACGAGAACGCGCGAGGTGTTTACAATGTTCATGACTGCTGTCTGGAGCTGAGCGGGCTCCATGCTTGCCGTGGTATGGAGTCTGCAGTGTTCACCCAGGAAAAAAGGCACGAAATGGTTGTCTGCCGTCCATTGCTTTCATGCAGGGAGGGAGGGAGGGGTGAGGCTGTACCCAGAACCACCTGCGACAATGTTTTGGTCCCATCAGGCACTGGGATCTCAACCCAGAATTCCAATGGGCAGGGGAGACTGCGGGAACTATGGGATAGCTATGGGATAGCTACCCACAGTGCAACGCTCCAGAAATCAACGCTAGCCCCGGTACATGGACGCACACCGCCGAATTAATGTGGGTAAAAACCGAATTAATGTGCTTAGTGTGGCCGCATACAATCGAATTTATACAATCTGTTTCCCAAATTCGAATTATCTAAATTCGGATTAATCCCGTAGTGTAGACGTACCCTAAGACAAGCCTACCACAAAACCAGAGAGGCAAATGGAAGGTCCAGGGCAGAGCCGTGAACATGCTGCTTCTACGCTGAGCTGCATGCCATGCTGGGGGTGCAGCCACCACTACCCCAACCCTGTGCTTTGACTCCGTCAATGGAGAATCACGCAACACGGACGCGGGTTTTGGTGACGAGGAAGATGATGAAGAGATTGAAGATAGCTCCCAGCAAGGAAGCGGAGAAACCGGTTTCCCCAACAGCCAAGATACGTTTTTCACCCTGGACCTGGAACCCCCGAACCCACCCAAGGCGTGCTCACAGACCCTAAAGGCGGACAAGGCACCTCTGGTGAGTGTACCTTTGTAAATATTACACATGGTTTAAAAGAAAGCGTGTTTAATGATTAATTTGCCCTGGCATTCGCGGCCAGTACAGCTACTGGAAAACTCTATTAACGTGTATGGGGATGGAGTGGAAATCCTCCAGGGACATCTCCATAAAGCTCTTCTGGATGTACTCCCAAAGCCTTTGCAAAAGGTTTCTGGGGAGGGATGCCTTATTCTGTACGCCATGGTAGGACACTTTACCACGCCAGGCCAGTAGCAAGCAGTCTGGAATCATTGCATAACAAAGCATGCAGCGTATGGTCCCGGTGTTTGCTGGCATTCAAACAACATCGTTCCTTATCTCTTTGTGTTATCCTCAGGAGAGTGATATCATTCATGATCACCTGGTTGAAATAGGGTGATTTAATTAAGGGGACATTCAGAGGTGCCCATTCCTGCTCGGCTGTTTGGCTGTGTCTGAACAGAAATGTTCCCCACTGTTAGCCACGTGATGGGGGGGAGGGGTGAAGTGATCATCAGAGAATTGCGTGTGTGGGGGGGGGGCGGGGGGTTATTTGGGTTTGTGCTGCACGCTAACCCGCAAACCGCAGCCCCTCCTTTTAAACTGCCAACCCATTTTAAATGGCCAACCCAACGGCCACTTGGTATGGGAAATGAGGGCGCTGCTGTTTGAAACCATTCCCACATGTTATGAAGGTTAAATAAGCCAAAAGACTGTGGCTTACCAGGGCTGCCTGCAAGCCGAATTCTGTTGCCTGGCACTGCGTGAGGCAGGTTTAACGGGAAAGAGTGATCCTATTGTTCTCTAAAATGTGTCTTTTTAACTACCAATCTCCCTTTTCCCCCCCACCAGCTATAAATGTTTCTCCTTCACAGACGCTAGTGAAGATTAGAAGGCGAAAAAAACCGCACTCAGGATGAGATGTTCTCTGAGCTGCTGCTGTCCTCCCACACTGACAGAGGACAGCAGAATGCGTGGAGGCAGACAATGTCAGAGTGAAGGAAAGCACAATATGAACGCGAGGAGAGGTGGCGGGCTGAAGAGAGTAAGTGGCGGGCTGAAGATGATAGGTGGCGTCAGCTTGCTGACAGAAGGCAAGAGTCGATGCTCCAGCTGCTGGAGCATCAAACTGATATGCTCCAGCGTATGGTTGAGCTGCAAAAAAGGCAGCAGGAGCACAGACCGCCGCTACAGCCCCTGTGTAACCAACAGCCCTCCTCCCCAAGTTCCATAGCCTCCTCACCCAGATGCCCAAGAATGCGGTTGGGGGGCCTGGAGCCACCCAGCCACTTCACCCCAGAGGATTGCCCAAGCAACAGAAGGCTGGCCTTCAATAGTTTTTAAAGTTTTAAAGTGCAGTGTGTCCTTGTCCTTTCCTCCTCCCCCACACCACCTGGCGCTTCCCTCCTCCCCCACCCCTCCCGGGCTACCTTGGCAATTATCCCCCTATTTGTGTGATGAATTAATAAAGAATGCATGAATGTGAAGTAACAATGACTTTATTGCCTCTGCAAGCGGTGATCAAACGGGGGGAGGGAAGGGTGGCTAGCTTACAGGAAGTAGAGTGAACCAAGGGGGGGGGGGGAGGAGGGTTTCATCCAGGATAAACAAACAGAACTTTCACACCGTAGCCTGGCCAGTCATGAAACTGGTTTTCAAAGCTTCTCTGATGCGCACCACGCCCTGCTGTGCTCTTCTAACTGCCCTAGTGTCTGGCTGCGCGTAATCAGCAGCCAGGCAATTTGCCTCAACCTCCCACCCCGCCATAAATGTCTCCCCCTTACTCTCACAGATATTGTGGAGCGCACAGCAAGCAGTAATAAAAATGGGAGTATTGGTTTCGCTGAGGTCTATCCGAGTCAGTAAACTGCGCCAGCGCGCTTTTAAACGTCCAAATGCACATTCTACCACCATTCTGTACTTGCTCAGCGTATAGTTGAACAGCTCCTGACTACAGTCCAGGCTGCCTGTGTATGGCTTCATGAGCCATGGCATTAAGGGGTAGGCTGGGTCCCCAAGGATAAACTATAAAAGCAGCAAACAGTCCTGTGGCACCTTAGACTAGCAGACGTATAAGAGCATGAGCTTTCGTGAAAAGCTCATGCTCCTATACATCTGTTAGTCTATAAGGTGCCACAGGACTCTTTGCTGCTTTTACACATCCAGACTAACACGGCTACCCCTTTGAAGGATAACTATAGGCATTTGAACATCCCCAATGGTTATTTTCTGGTCTGGGAAGAAAGTCCCTTCACGCAGCTTTTGAAACAGACCAGAGTTCCCGAAGACGCGAGCATCATGTACCTTTCCCAGCCATCCCACGTTGATGTTGGTGAAACGTCCCTTGCGATCCACCAGTGCCTGCAGCAGCACTGAAAAGTACCCCTTTCGGTTTACGTACTCGCTGGCTTGGTGCTCCGGTGACAAGATAGGGATATGGGTTCCGTCTATTGCCCCACCACAGTTAGGGAATCCCGTTGCAGCAAAGCCATCCACAATGGCCTGCACATTTCCCAGAGTCACTACCCTTGATATCACCAGCTCTTTTATTGTGTTGACTACTTGGATCACAGCAGCCCCCACATTAGATTTGCCCACTCCAAATTGATGCTCGACTGACCCGTAGCTGTCTGGCGTTGCAAGCTTCCACAGGGCTATTGCCACCCACTTCTCAACTGTGAGGGCTGCTCTCATCTTGGTATTCCGGCGCTTCAGGGCAGGGGAAAGCAAGTCAAAGTTCCATGAAAGTGCCCTTAAGCATGCGAAAGTTTCGCAGCCACTGGGAATCGTCCCACACCTGCAACACTATGCGGTCCCACCAGTCTGTGCTTGTTTCCCGGGCCCAGAATCGGCGTTCCACGGCATGAACCTGCCCCATTAACATCATGATGTGCACATTGCCGGGGCCATACTTTGTGAGAAGTCTATGTCCATGTCTATTTCCTCATCACTGTCGTCACCACGCTGCCGTCGCCTCCTCGCCTGGTTTTGCTTTGGCAGGTTCTGGTTCTGCATATACTCCAAGATAATGCACGTGGTGCTTATAGTGCTCATAATTGCCGCGGTGATCTGAGCAGGCTCCATGATCCCAGTGCTATGGCGTCTGGGCTGAAAAAAGGCGTGAAACGATTGTCTGCCGTTGCTTTCAAGGAAGGGAGGGAGGGAGGGAGGGAGGGAGGGAGTGGGGGCCTGACGACATGTACCCAGAATCACCCACGACACTGTTTTTGCCCCATCAGGCATTGGGATCTCAACCCAGAATTCCAATGGGCGGCGGAGACTGCGGGAACTGTGGGATAGCTACCTACAGCTACCCACAGTGCAACACTCCAGAAGTCGACGCTAGCCTCGGTACTGTGGACGCAGTCCGCTGACTTAATGCACTTAGAGCATTTTGTGTGGGGACACACACAATCGACTGTATAAAAACAATTTCTAAAAAACCGACTTCTATAAATTCGGCCTAATTTCGTAGTGTAGACATACCCTAAGCCTAACAGCTTTAAACCTAATAGAGGCTAAATCATAATATACTGATTGTCATCTTGGGACATGAAGTAGTGTTTAATCCATGGTATGTTGCTGTACATTTGGCAGGTAAAGTTGCATTTCTCATTCTATGACCACCGAGTAGCCCCTAGATCAACAGTATGCTGGCAATCAGCTCAAAGAAGAATAAAAAAGCCAGTAGTCTATAAAACTCAAGGTGGTGTTTCTGTTGTTTAGATACAATTAATTCATGAGGAACTCACTGCTGACTTCAGGAAAGTCTAAAATTAATTAGGGTAATCTGATTAGCCATCAATATCACTGAGCATTATGAGCAACCAAAATTGATAGAGAAGGATTCCAGGAATATAAACTAGCCTACAATATATATATTTATTTTAAAAAAACCTGCTAAACTTCATAATTCTGTTCCACCACAGTTATAACAGCAATCAAGAGATCACAGCAAAGTAACATCAAGACCAAAGTAGAAGTTCCTGGATGCTTACCTGTTCCAAATAGATATCCACACTGCCTCCAGATGTTGGGCTAATGGAAGCAACAGCCAGAAGTGGATGAAGAGGGTGCCAAGTTATGTTGGAAGGGGACCCAACTGAATCAGGGACTTCTATTCTGTGACCAACATACACAGCCATAGTGACATACACAGTCCTAGGTAGAGTCCAGATCTGTGCAAGGGGAAAAAAAAGATTTCGAACAGATTAAATTAAGACCTGGGCAAGATTTAAAAAAAAAAAAAACATGTCTTCTTCACCGTACTATGGTGAAAATAAAAAGGGTGAAAATGACGTTTTGGTACAACCTTTAGAAGCACAGAAATTTCCTTATTGAAATAGTCCAATGGTCCACGTAGGCCAGTATCTTGCCTCCAGCATTGGCCTAAACTGGATTATTTCAAAGGAAAGTGAAGGAATCCAGAATTTCCCTGCCAAATTTACAACACACCATGGATTAAACATTACTTCATGTCCCAAGATGACAATCAGTATATTATGATTTAGCCTCTATTAGGTTTAAAGCTGTTAGGCTTAATTAGGCTTGGAAGAATTGGATTTTTATCACTAAATGTCGATAAAAATCGATTTCACTGTATAAACACAGAGACAGCAAAATAGGCAGCAGAGACCAACTGCCCCCCCACCCCACAGTACAGTACTGTGTTAAACGTAAACTACTAAAATATAAAGGGAAAGTTTTAAAAAAATTGACAAGGTAAGGAAACTGTTTCTGTGCTTGTTTCATTTAAATGAAGATAGTTAAAAGCAACATTTTTCTTCTGCATAGTAAAGTTTCAAAGCTGTATTAAGTCAATGTTCAGTTGTAAGATTTTGAAAGAACAACGTAACGTTTAGTCATGGGTGTGCACAGGCACACCCTAATGCAGGGGTGGGCAAATGGCTCCACTCTCCCGGCAGCCCTCGGCCCCTCCCCCGCCTTCCCAGGCCAGCCCCCGCCTGCCACACACACCCCCGTGGGTCCCCCCCACCTGCCACACACACACCCCTGCGGGTCTCGCCTGCCACACACACACACACACCCCTGCCCCGGAGCATCCCTGCCTGAAAGAAAGCGGCACAGGCCTCTCCCGTGCCTGCTTGTGCTGCACATTCCTACTCAACGGCTGTCTGCTGCCCCAGGGTCCTAGTGCCCCCCATCCCTAAATGGCAGGGCAGGCTGCCCTTTCCCTGCCCTTCCGCCCTAGCCCTGAGCCTCTCCAACGCCCCAAACCCCTCAACCCCAGCCCTCATCCCCCCACACCCTAATCCTCTGCCCCAGCCCTAGCCCTGAGCCCCCTCCTGCATCATGAACCCCTCATTCGCAGCCAGAGCCCTCATCCCCCCACACCCTAATCCTCTGCCCCAGCCCTGAGCCCCCTGCATCATGAACCCCTCATTGAAGCCACGCTACTGCAGCACTGCCCAGGGCCGCTCCTGGATGCGGCACGCTGGGCTCTGGGAGAGGGGGGAGGCGGGGGTAAGCAGCATGATAAGCCCCTCTGAGCTGGGCACCCCCAGACCCCATCCCCCCCCCCCCAGCTCTGAGCCCAGCCCCTCTGAGCCAGGCACCCCCTGACCCCATCCCCCCCACAGCCCTGACCCCTAGCTCCAAGCCCGGCCCCTCTGAGCTGGCCAGCTGGGCACCCCCCGACCCCATCCCCCCCCCAGCTGACCCCCAGCTCCGAGCCCAGCCCCGCTGAGCTGGGCACCCCCCGACCCCAGCCCCCCACAGCCCTGACCCCTAGCTCCATGCCCAGCCCCTCTGAGCCAGGAACCCCCCGACCCCATCTCCTGCTGCCCTGACCCCCAGCTCCAAGCCCAGCCCCTCTGAGCCAGGCACCCCCTGACTCCTGCCCCCCACAGCCCTGAACCCTAGCTCTGAGCCGGGCACCCCCCGACCCAGAGCCCAGCTCCCCACCCAGCCCTGGCCAACAGCTGCGCCACCCCCAAGCAGCGACAGCCCATTGGCACCAACCATCACCATCACCCAGCGACAGCCCATTATAAATTGCAAATGTATACATAACATTAAAGCATTTAATGTTTTAAAATAATGTATTTTGTGTATTTTCAAATTATTAAAATAATTTTTGAATGTATTTCACTGGTTATTTTTTACATTTCCAAATACGTTACTATAGTATTGCAACTTTTTTTTATGGAAGGGGCCCCCGAAATTGCTTTGCCCCAGGCCCCCTGAATCCTCTGGGCGGCCCTGCGAGCGGGACCTGAGCTCCTCCCGCTTGGCCGCAGCTCACAGCCCTGCCCCCTTACCACGCGGCTCTGAGCGGGAGGCGCTCAGGCCCTGCTGGAGCCACCACGGCGCTGCAGCACTGCCCAGGGCCACTCCTGGATGCGGTGCACTGAGGCGCCGGGGGAAGGCGGAGGTGGGGAGGAGCCTCCAACATTCTCATGGGAGCCCCTGCGGAGCCTGGGGCAAATTGCGCCCCCCCCGGCGGCTCTGCATCCTCAGCCAGAACCCTCAGTCCCCCGCACCCTAATCCTCTGCCCCAGCCCTGAGCCCCCTCCTGCATCATGAACCCCTCATCCTCAGCCCCACAGCCCTCACCCCTGCACCCCCTCCTATCCCCAAACTCCCTCCCAGAGCGTGCATCCCCTCCCTCTGCACCCCCTCCCACTCCCAAACTTCCCTCCCAGAGCCTGCACCCCTCACCCCCTCCTATGCCCCCACCCCCAGCCCAGAGCCTGCACCCAAACTCCGTCCCAGAGCCTGCACCCCTCAACCCCTCCTGCACACCCACCCCCTGCCCCAGCCCAGAGCCTGCACCCAGCACCCAAACTCCATCCCAGAGCCTTAGGCAGGTGGGGGGGGGGCGGACTTGGGGGGGGGAGCGGGTTCTGGGCACCACCAAAATTTCTACAAACCTGCTACCCATGTGCGGGGCAGCGTGTCTGGCTCTGCATGGAGCAAAACATGCTGCTAGGAGCCTCATGGTAAGGGGTCCGGGGCCGGTGGGGTTGGATAAGGGGTGGGATCCCGAGGTGGTGGTTAGGGGTGGGGGGGTCTCTGGAGGGGACAGTCAGGGAGCAGGGGGGGTTGGATGGGGCATGGGAGTCCCGGGGTCTGTCAGGGGGCGGGCGATGGATAGGGATCAGGGCAGTCAGGGGACAGGGAGCAAGGAAGATCCTGGGGGGGGGCAGGTAGGGTGGGGGGGGTCTCTGGAGGGGGTGGTCAGGGGACAAAGGAGCTGGGGGGGTTGGATGAGTCGGGAGTTCTGGGGGGGTCATCAGGAGGAAGGGGTGTGGAGAGGGGTTGGGGCAGGCAGGGAGGGTTGTATGGGTCAGGAGTTCTGGGGGTCCTGTCAGGGGGCGGGGAGCGGTTGGATAGGCGTGGGAGTCCCAGGGGTCTGTCTGGGGGCGGGGGTGTGGATAAGGGTCAGGACAGTCGGGGGTAGGGTCCTAGGGGGGCAGTCAGGGGACAAAGAACAGGGAGGCTTAGATGGGGGTGGAGTCCTGGGGGGCAGTTAGGGGCAGGGGTCCCAGGAGGTGGTAGTCAGGGGACAAGGAGCAGGGGGGGTTGGAGGTTCTGAGGGGGGCAGTCAGGGGGCAGGAAGTAGGAGGGAGTGGATGGGGGGCAGGCTAGGGCAGGGCGGGGCTAGGGCAGGGCTACCTGGGTGCACACCCTAATGAAATGTGCTGCGCACGCCTATGCATTTCAGAGTTATAAACAACCTCCATTCCTGAGGTGTTCGTAACTCTGAAGTTCTACTGTACACTCTTTCACACATTCCAGTAAAACAGGATGGACACTGCATCATCTACTACAGGAATTTCCAATATCAATAGCTGTGGAATTGGAGTCTCAAGAGATTAAGACTTAAAAACATATTCACAGTAACCAAACAGAATACAGAACACACAGTGTTTGCTTCTCCAAGCTTCTGTTGTTATAATTGAATAAATTAGCAACCACTTCGCAACTTCTATGTTAGTTAAAAAATAAAAAGCAATAATAAAAATAAACTGAAAAAAACATGGCATAAGGGTATACATTTTGGACTTGAACATACATTGTCTGCTATTAAGCAGTCTTTACAAAAAATATAATTTGATTAGGCTAATCAATATTGCAAAAGTTGATTCCAGTGCTTATTCTGAAGAAATTATCTTTATTAGGAATTAATTTGTAGTGAAATTCCTCCTGTGCAAACCCATACATTCTAGCTTTAACAGCATTACACATCTGTAATGTCTGTCTCAGAATCAGCAAGACAACATAGCATGTGTTGTGAGAGAGAGAAGGCATATATAGACAACAGGAGTCTGGCATATGTGATTTTACTTCAGGATACAAAGACTATATGGTAGAACACTGAATCATTCTTTATTCTTCATGGCAGCAGCAAAACATTAAAGTGTTTGCAGACAAATCAACACAAATGTAGTGTTCCTCCAAAACTCTGAACTGCTGAGCTACAGCAGAAGCTGGGGACAGATCCTGGAACCTTCATGAGTTCAACAAGTGTATGAGTAAGGACTCCTTGCAGAGTAAAGGTTTCAGGATAAAATCTTTGGCTCCTGCTGATAGGTTTCTGCATGCTCTCAAGAATAAAATTAAAAGGAAAGAACCCAGACAGACAGAGGGGGAGGTGGACCCATCTTGTGCTAGGGCAGAGAAGCTGAGAGATGGTAGTCACTAATAAAATTCAATATGATTTCAGGCATCTAATCTGAGATTTAGATCTGAAATTATTTGTAAAATACACAACAACAAATAACCCCTTCTCCCCAACCCACTTCTGCAGCCCCTTCTTCCCTAACCCATGTACTCCCCTTCTGTGCCCCTTCTCCCCTAATCTCTCCTGATCCCTAAACCCTGTACTCCCTTCTCTCCAACCCCTCCTGTACCCTTCTTAACTAACCCCTGCACTGTTCTCCCTTTGCCCCTAACCCCTGCACCCCCTTCCGCACGCACATGGGGAAACTGACCTGGATGCATGAAGCAGCTGGTATTGCTGTTCGTGGACACCTCCAACGCTGCTCCTCCATGGCCCCCCTCCCCAGGGGCTGTGAGGGAGGGAGCAAGGAGCAAGGTCACTTTCCCCACCTGGGCTGTGTAAGGGGAGAGCAGCAGCTCCTAATGCTTGCCTCACAGCACAGCCCAGTGAGCAAAGGTCCATGCGGTTTCTCCTCACACACACCCTTACAACCCCCAGGGGGGTATGGAAGAACTTTGCGGGGGGGGGGGGGGTATCTGTGCGTCACCACTTGCCGGCGTGCGGGAACAATTTGTACAGTGGGGGGTGCAGAGAGCCATTGAACCAAACTGTAAACCCTGTATATAATGGAAACCACTTCAAGCCAGGGGGTGCAGTAGCATCCCCAGCACCCTTAGTTGCAGCACCTATGCTGCTCGCCCCCGCCCCCCCCATTCCTCTGCTGGGAGGAAGCAGGGAGAAATCTGGGCGCTCCCCTGCCAGCGTTCACCTCTGTGCTGCCACACAGCGCCCTCCTGACCATGACATCCACACAGCCCACTCCTAAGGTCTGCACTGCCCATATGGGTTTCAGTGTGGGGCGGAAGGTGACAGCTAGGGGTGTGCAGTCAGAGGGGGATTTTATTTCCCTATTGAAGCAGGTTCTCTCAGGGTATTTGGGTGGCCTGTACCATGATGCAACCTATTTCTCTGGTGGAGCATGCTTGTTTG